TTTAAACTTGATTGTTAATATAAAAAAAAATAAATATTTCATTACATAAAAACGAAAATAATGCATAACATTTTTTTTTTATTAATGTTCGAAGTGACCTCCATTATTTGTAAGACAGCTGAAGTTTTTGGACCCAAGGGTTTTTAATATTTTTTAATGTCTCAGATAAAATATTTTGAATATTTTGTTTAATTTTGTCACGAAGATCAAGCAATGAATACGACGAATACACAAGATTTTTCAAATAACCCCATAAAAAAAAATTCATTGGTGTTAAGTGGGGTCACCTAGGTGGCCAAAGCACTGCATTATTAAAATGTGAAACAAGTAATTTTTTTGTCATAATTATTCAAAAACATAACTTGTTCTAACTTACTTAATTTTTATTCAATTTTAATATATTTTTTTAACTGTTTTAAAAACTATGCTAATGAAAATGGCTATTTTAAAAATTGAAATTTCTTAAATTTATAAAATTTTTATTTTTTTAATTTTTGAATTTTTTTAAAAAAAAGTTGAATTTTATGCAATTCAATCAGAATTTCCATATTTAGTGTTGTAAAAAAAAATCGCATTTAAATATATTAATTTCCCGTGGAGATATTAAGGGTGATACGGAACTTATCGGACAACTGTATATCAATCTGCATAAGTCAATTTAATGTGATTAAAAAAATGAATAAATAAATATATTTATAATATATTAGATATCAATAATAATTTGACAAATATACAATTCCATAGGCAAAAATTTATCTCAAAAATAGTATGGGGAAGGAACGGAAACGATAAAAAACTCGGAAACTATTGGGACAAGTCCCAGCCTTCCACAGAAATATATTTGATAGTGTCCCACTATCAAATGTAGACGAACTTACTCGTTCAATTTTACCAAGCAGCTCAATATGAACTATTTTTCCTTTTTTTCTTCTCTTATTGAAACTTTGTAAAAATAACACAATTAGTTCCAGAGATTCTGTTTTTTAGTCATAAAATATATTGTTGTCGTACGGAACATCAATTATTAATGTTCAAGTCGGTTTTATAGCTGTTACTTTAGCTTGTTTTATTTTTATTTAAGACTACGGTATACTGAGAACATTGATTAACTAAAATTAAGAAATGCACCAAAATGTAAACAATATCAAGCGGTATATTTTGGTTTCATAATATTTTTTTTTAAAATTCCAATGATGGCAGTATTTTAGTGAATTAATTTAAAATAAGCAGAAATAACATCTTCAGAATTAAATTACGATGAAATTCCGTACCCATTTAGATATCTGTAATAATTTCAAATTAACTGGATCCGACTAATATCTATTTACATTTCAATTCATTGCGACAATACTGGTAAAAAGTTTCTACCAAAACCATTGACGTTTATTATAGCGGTCAAATTTATTTAATTATAGCACGGTAACCGTTAAACGGATGGTACAGCTGGCGGATTTTTAAATGTATGATAAACAGTAACAGTTTGTATGAAGTTATTAAGCAAAGGCGAGTGAGCAACAATTTTAATCATTGTTTAAATTCAGTGAAGCTCTACTGTAGTTGAAATGTCGAGCAAAACAAATCAGTTGCTTATCAAATATTATGTATAGTTTCGTCGTCATGAATAAGATTTCGGTTTGACACGGCCAAAGACATCATTTATTTGAAATGTCACCACCATTTACATAACTGTACCATCGAATATAACTCTGCGTATTGAAAACAATGGCGAAAACATTAATTTCAATCGAGATTTTTTGTATACCATCATACGGTAAAAATAATGTTAGGATTAAATGATAAAATATTGATTTATAAATCGAGATTTAAATTTTTCCAAAACCTACATAATAGTTTTCTTATTGATTTTTTTTTTTTTCACGTTCTTCTAGTATGATTCGGTACGGAATCATTCATATAATTAGTTCGATCAATAAATTACGAGACCAAGTCGCTATACCTACAACGTTGATTACGTACCATTAGACGAGCTATATTGTCAGTTCAAAATGAAATATGTTGTTTAATCAGCGTCATTTGGCAACAATGGATTTCAACAGACTTATTTTTGAGCGTTGAAATCAACTTTTAGATCTAGAAAAATAAAAGGAACAGAGCACAAAAAAATATGTCGTGTAAAAAGTATTATTATTTTTTGTTCCGACGTTTTTCGCTTTAATAATGCGTGTAACATAGTAGCTATTATTACAATAAGTGTAGAAAATAAAAAGAAATGAATATTTTAGATTGTTTCTATCATTGTACATGCATTCGAGTAACTTCGGTAAGTGTTTATAATGTGTACGAATATAATACACGTACATATATATACACTAACCGATTATGATAAAGCAGATGTTGTATCGGTTAAAATGTTGGTTTATACATAATTTATAATAATCGTTACGATAATGATATGACCGTTTTGATTTTCGTTACGCCCGAGCATAACATATGGTACATTAATTGAAATAAAAATGGATTTTCACATTGTATTCAACCGACACGGAACGGGGTTTGTCTTGAAAACGTACAGCACCGTACGATATGACCGGAATGATTGCGTTTCGTTCAATTGGCTCGAATACGTTGTCATTATTACCGCAAGTTCGATGGCATACCGAAACATCATAGGCAGTGGTGCAACTTAAGACTCGTGTAACCGCAAAATAGCGTTGCTGTAGAATTAGTTATTTGATGTGTTATAACGTTAAGCTTTTGAAAACGAGAATATATGGAGAATGCGGAGCATAGTTCATTAAATTTGTATTTGATACTATAGATATATTACGTACACGTTTCGTTATATATATATATACATATGTATAAGATCAAACTTACATATATATTATAATTCCAGAGAAGCATACGATCGTAGCGGAATCTTCGAATAATTGTGATTCTTTTTTTCCATCTCGGCGATCAAACTTTCGAGTGGTAAATGTGAGCCAAAAGTTTCAAACTGCAACTTTCGAGATCGGAAATCGGACACGTCACATGGTATTTTATTAGAAACGTAATTCTTATATGTTTCTACGAGAGTAGTTTTCCCCTTTGATAAAGAAAAAAAAAACTGAAAAAAAAACTTGAACACAAAGTTACCTAACGCTTTTGTTTGTATACATTTTAATAGCACGAGTTTACTTTTACGTTCCGAACGTAGTTTAAAACACAGCGTGGTGTTTAACCTAGTGTAAATATACAACAGGACTCTTTTTGTATTGCCACACCATACGTTTTTGTTTCGAATCGTATCGGGCAGGATGAAATATTACTCATCACGTCAACGTAATCGTAATAATGTTATTACATCAATCTCGAAATCGTTTTCGAACCCGAATGTTATCATAGGTTGCAATTATTTTACCAAATGTATGACTGACACAACACATAAATCAGAACCAGTGCATGCATAACTCCTCATTTCTCGTATCGTTATCCACGCTAGTCAAAATGTTGACGAAGCACAAGCTTGGCGTAGACCTTCTAAAGGTCAATACGTGCCGTTTTACGACAAAACCACCCCTCTGAAATTTAGATCTTGGCAATACGTGACTATGAGTCGCGCACCTATCGTCGGTTTTACGTACAAGAGTAACGGTGACAGCGGTGGGCGGAGGCGAAAAACCGTAAAACAATAAGGTGTCGATTTGGGTATCCACCGGTCACTTGTGCTTTGTTGAAGCACAAGTTTATCTCCTCGACCACTGGTTAGTCGTAGCCGAGAGAAAAACCGAGAAAATCGAAAAAACGACCAGAGCACAGCACGTACTTCTTAGGTCATGTACACCGATTAAAGCTATGAAATATAACCGTGGGGCGTGGAAATCCGACCCAATGTCAGCATCACGCATGCATGTTCATCGTTTAAGATTTGCGGGACATTCGCTCCCCGTCCAATGTCGTCTACGAAGCGTGTGTGATTGGTAATTTCTGTAAATCACTGATTCAGGACTTTAATCCGTAACGGGAGCAACTACTGTTGTTCGACGCATTCCGATCATGACTGTATTTATTGTGCACGGTTAAAAGCAGTAATGATAAGCAACTGCAGGAGTGGATCTAAATACTTTTTATATTTTTATATTTTTTAAGTGTGCCGACTAAAGGTTGAAGTTAATACTAGATGGGTCAAATCATTGTCACTTTCCCGCAAATGACGTCACTGGTTTAATCGTAGAGTGCAGTAAAACCTTCCTGTGCTGGACCGCTCGTAAGATGGAATCGTCCATAAAATGAAATCAATGATAATAATAACTATGAATAAACTTCAAACATGTATGTATTTGTACGATCATATTGCGTTTTTTTTTTTTACAATTTATAATCCGGTTTCAGCCCTAATACTTCTTGAAGCAGCATGACTGTGTAACATTCCGAGACTTGCACTTCGGCAGAAGAAACACGACTTGTAGCCAATCGCAATCATCTCACCGTAGTCGCGCGTCTTTCACCGTCCCTTGATGCCGTCTTCGGTTCTCCCTTCGGAGCTAAAAATTCCAAGGGTCTACGAACCGGGCCACTGCCGATCCGCGTACGACGAAAGTGGGTCGAAAATAGCCGCGTCCGCGGGCCAGTCCCGGATTCGTTTCGACAGCAATGCCGTTAAAAGCGTGACGACGACAAAACGTTCGCGAAATCACGTGCGCGCGGAACGTACCCGTTTCAGATGGCTGCGGCGGCGGCAGCGGCTGAGCGATATAGCGAAGCCTGGCGGTGAACGGTGGCCGCCGCGGGGTCTTACATTGGTGCGCGCCGGTTTTCCGCCCCCGCAGTGTGATTTTTCGTCGGGTCCGTGCCAGTCAGCGACACCTTTGCGCTCCGTCGCCAACTCGTATCGTTTACTATCGTCGACCGTTGCAAACGTTATGACTACGACCGATATTATCATTGCACCGTCGCTATTGTAACCGTCGTCGGACGTTGGATCCGTTGTACGGCCCAGGTACCACGTCCACGCGACCACCGTGTAGGTGTACTTTTTCGTTTTTTCCGTTTTTTCCTTTTTTTTTTTTTTTTACCTCGGCCCGTTCCCCACGGAGTTTCACCCGGTTCGTCGCGTCACGTGCTATCGAAAAACCCCGAAACACTTTGACGACAAGACCGTCTCGTCGGAAATGAAATAAAAAAACGCATTACAGCACTGCCGCCATCGCGGGTCCTTTTTTTTTCCTCTCTCGCGCCACTCCGCCGCGACCTGTGGACAACCCCGTCGGCACTGCGAAATCGGTTCGCGCCCGCGAGTGCGTCGTCGTCTCCGCCGCACCACAGTTTTTGGTCCTTCCGAACGAGTGATCACGTTCGATCGACGTCGTACCGAATTTAACGTGAGTACACTATTACATACCACTTCCGAAACGATTTATTTATTTTCCGAAATCGCCGTACACGCCGCCGTCGACCGGGAACGGTGGCCGCGGCCGTTAACCGCCACGCTGGTTGTGGTGGTTTTTCGTTCCGATGGTGGTGGACTACGTGCTGATTCATGCAAATCATGCATGCTACTCACCGGTGCGGAACAATGACTCGAGAGATTTGACTGTGGAATTTGATACGATCAAAAAAAAATATGTAGGTTCTATAGGAAAAAAAATGTCTAATTTAGCGCCAAAACAAATTTCGTTTTTTACGCGCATGTATCATATTAGCGTTATCATATTAATAGGATTGCAATGGGTTTCATTTTCGGGTTCACTCGAACGATTAACAATAGTCCATAAGTGAAAGTGTATTTAGAGGCGGAACTAGGGGATGGGAAAACGAGGATTCTAACTGGGCGTAAACTTTTAGAGGGTGTAATTTTTGTAATTATTAAAAACTAATTTGATATTTTTAACTTTGTTAAATTATTAGAAAAAATTTCTCAAGAAGAGTATTTGATTGTTGGTCTATGATAGTGCGTAATTTTTCCTTGGACGTAAAAATTCCTATTTCCACCTCTGAGTGTATTCGATATTTTTCACTCACGTAAACAATTAAATACAACGTAAATTGTTGTAAAATACTCCTAGGTTCTGTATTTGAATTGTAATTCTCCGTTTGATTTTTCCGCAAAACCTGGATTGTTTTTAAATATTAAGGACACTATCATCTACCATTGAAATTGTTACGACAAATATATGTCATTTTCAGACACAGTATCAGCGCATTAACTCAATAGTCTTGTACCACCCGTTGTTTCCTACTGACCTTTTTTTTTCCAACAATAAACATTTAATATTCACCCATAAATCTCGCTGTTCGATGATATCAATAACTAAAAAATATCTGAAGTTTTTTGATAACTTTTGCAATTTCAAGTTGTATTAGGTATCTTATAATAATTATTAATAGAAACAGTCATCCACAAAATATGCGTTCAATTACATTATAACTGTATGGACACTAAAATATATAGTGGTTTTAATAAAATTATATACCGGAAAAATGATTCCGTTCAAAATTAATTTGGTGTAACTGATCTGAAAAATCTTGAAAATGATCTTATTAACGTACTAGGTGTTATGATAATCATTTTGTTTATTGATTATGCTAGGAGATCTTATGTCATCACAAAATATTTACGTCTGAATAAAAATGCATCTCAAAAGTGAACATTTAGAAATTATTGAGATTAACGCAGACAACAATATTAATATTCAATAATTTAAGAAAGACCGCAAAAAATAAAATATATATATATATATATATAATAACATAATAGTTTTATATCGTGCGATTGAAATATATTTAAAAATTGTATAACTATGAACTTAACACAATATAATATTATTATATAATAATTATACGGTTCATATGATATTTGAAGAGTGTTGTATTTAAGACATTACATCTATAATAATTTTTACAAAATCGATTTACCCAGTAAAACTATAGTTTCTTATTCTAAACTTCGATTTGTCTATACGTTACTTCCCTCTCACTTTACATTTTTCCTTACATATTAAACTTTATTTGAACGACTCACACATTTGCACCCACCGTCACTCTCCTTCTATTTGCGACAATCCTCATATCATATTCTCTTTGACTGTTTTTTTTTAAGAATACTTAACTCTAACAAGATCCCCTTCAACTTTAAATTCATTATTTCTCCCCAATCACTTCCAGTTCACTTCCCTCTTCTAAGCTAGCTTTTAAATTTAACATTTAGTTTAATTGTAAACATGTTATTTTTAATTATTTTTAATTATTTGTTATAGATTATATTTGGTTTATTTGTTTTATCGTTAATAATTTTTGGGAGTAATTGTTAAACAAAGTCTATTTAAAAAATTGAAAAATATTATAACCAACTTGCCATTTTTTCACGATTTATTTTAAACCTAATTTATGAATTTTTTTATAATTACATAACATATCTTATCTAGAAAATAAATGTATGAAAAATTGATACTAATACAAAATCAATAGATATAGATTAATTTATAAGAATATTCATATTTATATCTATATTGTATAAACTTGTGGTAGGAATTTAAGAAATAAAACGTTTTAAACTTATAAATTTATTGATGTCAGTAGGTTGGCCTATGGTAAAAATTAAATAAAACTGGAAGTAAATGAGCTTTGAATATTTTTAGTAAAAATAATTGTGTTAACAGTTTTAATTTTTTTTTTCTGTCTTTGTTAAAATGTATTTTAGGTACTTCTGTTTGAGATTTTTGAAATAAAAAAAAAAAAAAAATAAAAATTCCCCAAGTTGATGTTGAATAGGCTACTTTTGCGTTTATCATATAACTAATTCATAACTATATAATGTTGTTTAGGTCAAATTTGTAAAAAAAAAAAAAAATTAACCTAGTTTTTATTAAATTCACAGTTATTTTTTTAATGAAAATACATTTACTATAAAATATATTCTGATCTTATGAATAAATATTTTCAATGCATTTTTATGACATTAATTAGCTTATTAATATTAAAAATATCATCATCATAGGAGTATTCAAATGAGTTTAAAATGTTATATATTTATACATATAATAACAATATTTATATATATATATATATATATTCAAGACTAAAATCACACAGTTTTTATTATACTATAAAATAAAATTTTGAAACAGAATATAGTATGTTTTAATCATAATATAAAAATGTAATATTATTAAACTTTAAGTTCAGACTCATGAATTACTGTTAAAAATCACATAGTTTTATAAATTCTTTAAATTACAAAACCAATTGATTTATTAAAAAATAATTACTTTATAAAATATTTAATATTTTTTTTTTATTTTTTTTATAATTGTATAAAAATCATTATGCATAGATGGTATAAATTATAGGAGTTCAAGGAATTCTTTATATTTCTCATTCTCAATAGGATGGCCATGATGATAAAGTTTTTCAAGTTTTTTAGATTTAACCATTACACGTTTAGCCAAATTGAGAAAAGAAAATGCTACAAAATTATTATTTGAATATTCCTAAAACATATTGTAAGGTTAATCTGCTGCAAAATATATTCATCGCAATTTTAACAATTATAATTTACCTCCTTCGCCATTACTTTTTCAATTGATTATATATATTATATATTATATATATCTTTTACAATAAAAAGAAATATTATTTTGAGTCATTTGCATAATTTTGAATGGATTTCTTTTATGAGGATTTAAAATTACTTTTATCCAACTATTCGGAACAAAAATTTCAGAATGATGCTTTTTCTTTGTTTCAACAACTCTGACATCTCTATCAAAATGCAGAGGTACTAGAAATTTGTGATATATTTGTTTAGGAGATAAATCATCAGAATATACAAAAAAATTGCATATCAGTGCCGTTTATATGTTATGATTTTGTCCACTAACAATAGTCGCTATACATAATAAGTTTTTATGTATCAGCATAATTCTTAACAAAGTATAAAATTCAAGATCCAATTTCTTGCGAACCTCTTGATGGAATGGATTCATTTCATACATATATGTAAGTTTTACTAATCACTTGGTTGCGTATACCTAGGTTATACGTCTATAATTTCCTATTGTAGTAAGCTATGCAAACAGATATGGATGGAGTTGTATGATTTTTCATAAGATCAAAAAAATAACAGTAATTTGATTATATATTCTATATAGTTATACATCGGAATCCATTCCATTACGAGTAGATTCTGCTCTTCTCAGATGCAATTCATGTTCTCTATTTAATTCTCCTTTATCATATTCAAGGGCCGATTTAATTTTAGTAATAAAAATATCACATTTTTAACAGCTATTTGAAATTGGAGAATAAAAATCTTAATCCAAAAGTTTCTAAATATATACATCAAAACTGGATCTTGTGTTACTGTTTATACAGGTTATACATTATCAAAATATTTAAAACGAGGTTTAAATAATTCCTATTAAATATTTATTCCCCGAATAAAGCGAAATAGACGTAGGAAATGTTTTGATATAATTTTGAACTTTTTAACACTTTTCATTTGACACTTTATTCACATAAGCACATTTTTCCACCGTCATCTTTAAGGGTAGGTGAAAAATGTATTTTACCTGCTAAAGCTTTTGTAATGTGACCACAAGATATCTTAAACGAAAGTATAAAACATTTTGGTGATAAATAATGGTCTATCTATTCAACAATAATATAAATAGATCATTGTTGCATTGTGTTGAGAACTATAATTTGTCCGTGCAATAACACAATAGTACTACTATCTATTAGAAAAAATATACAAAAATAGGCGGGTTTTGGATTTATAAATTTAAATAATTCTGAAAAATAATCTATCATTATCTCATTTATGAATTTTTGTGGAATAAGCCACTTTTACGCTCAGTGCCTAATAAAAGTCTTTGATTGGTATTTTTCAAATTTTTATACGCCGAAAATATATTTTTAGTGACTCTATAAATAATTCATATTTTTTCCCTTTAGAGTTTGTGACCTACAGGTTGTAAACCACTGGTTTATGTGAGTTAGTGACAACATTTACGATATGATGCTATATTTTAAGTACCAAGGTCATTCCAGTTGCGTATTGAAAAGCTATAGAACATTATATTTAGATACTTTTCCCACTATTATTATTTTTTTCATGAGCAATTAGATTGACCCAATATGCAATTTGTTAATTATTTTTTTATAACATAATTTCTGTATTTTATGCTAGTTTTAAGCAATGTTTTAATAATAACGCATTATTAAAATAGCTTACTTTATTTACATGATAACTATTTTAGTACCATAATACTTTGGTTATTTAGCTTATATAATAAAGTAAATTGAATATGATTTTATATTAATATCATGCTTATTCAGAGACATAGATACATAAAAAGGAGGGTTTGTTAATATCTAGAAA